AGTTTCAAACCATTGCTGCAGATCAACTGTTCCAGAGGCCACTGCCTCCTCCTTTACCTCTGACACTGATTGAACACACAAATGTTTTTTCGACCTCGCTCTCTTATCCCCGTTTATGTCTGGCCTCCGACAGCTGTGGTCTAATCAGCTGCTGATTATTCTTCCTGTTTTAAACGATGTATTACGTTTCTCTCCCTACGTACAGTGACTGAAAATGGCGTTCAGATCTCCTCCTGCCACGATCACCCCTGTTGATGTACCACCTCCAAGCACCTCCTCCCTCTTTTAAGCTGTATTCAGCTTACTTCAATGTTTTTTACTTCTACTGATGTATTTCTGTTAATTTCTGAACATTGTGCTTCTTTCAGCTACTGTTTGGAAGATTCAGATACACCTGCTTACATTTCAGATACCATATAGCTGTTTCATGCCAATATCAGCTAATTCCACCTTTATTTTTAAATTAATCCAACTTTTACAGCCTAATTCAGGAAAACCAAGCTCTACCCACTCACTTTTGGTACTTTAAGACTATTTCTGCTTGTTTTAGCTATTGGTCTGCTGGTCTTTTATACTTACTTCATATTCAAAATTGTTCCATCTCGTTCAGATTGTTCACCAATATGCTCTTAACTCATGTATGGACCCTGTAGCCTTTCCACAGGAGCCACATGTAACACATATATGAGTTCCACACCTGATGACCGTTCACACACTCAAGCATTCAATTCTCTTTCATTCACATGCACAGCCGGCCCCGTTGTGATAAAACAATACACAAGTCTGTTGTATGAAAAAAAAAACCCAGAGTCCAGACTTGTCCTTGCCTTATACAACAGCGCCCCCTTTCGGTCAGGATATGGATGCTCCAGTCAGTCCGATCACCTGACACAACGCACGCACTTTCACCCAGAAGGACAGAGCACCAAAAGAAAAGGCTGCACCTTCCCCCACCCCCGTTTAAACAGAGAGAAAACAAATCTTCTATGTCAGCCACAGCCCAAGCAACCCCCACCCTCACACACACAAACAGAAACAGTCGCAGCACGGCACAAAACTTTATCTTGACCCTAAAACGGTCCCAGACCGCCGGAAATTTGGTACTAAGTCCCAGACTGCACGTTCACTTCGACTAAATTAACAATTGCTCTTATCTTTCGCGGACAGTCAACACCCGCAGTGGGAGAAGCACCCCACAGCCCCCGAGTTCCCAACTCGTTAGGCTCACCTCGTCAGGTGAGCCCTTTAGCGGCCAACCACGCTGAAAACAAAGTGAACATGTATACTATTTATTTTTAACGGCAGACTCCACGGTCTTCCTCCGCCACGATTCTAAATCGTGTTCTATCTAAACAAAGCCGTGCACAGGACACACACACTCTTACACGCACGCGGGCAAGCACGCACTCGTCTCGCAACCCCTCCAAGTCTGAATACAAGTAATCTGTACGTCAAAAGTTCCACTAATCACTTTAAATTAGCTTACCAAACATCTGATTCAGGAGATGGTACGAACACCCACAGAGGAAGATTACAATTTGGTTTACGGTCGAAATGCGGAGTAATTCGAGCCTTGCGGCCAACAGAGGTAACGTCCGCTTACCTTTTATCTTTGCTGGGCCCAGAAGTTCACAATGTGGGAGTTCAGCACCTTCTCGACCCAATTCGTGATTCCGTCAGCTGGACGTTCGGGGTCACCATCTGACGTGGCTGAGCGCCACTAATGGTGCTCAAAACAGCTGATACGGCCACCTTAGTTCAAAAGATTTATTGGACA